CACATATTCCCTAAATTATATATCTGCTAGACTAAAGCTAAATAAACAACATTGACTATAGTCCTAATCAGGTTACATGTTCTGTTCTGATATTACCAGGCATTTGTAAAAGCTTGGGGCACTGCCTGTGCTATACCAAAATCAGTATTCTTGGTTCCCTCCGGGCGCCGTTATTTAGTTAATGCAACAAGATTTAAGGGCCCTTGTGAAGATAAGCTGATCATCCAGGTAATTTTCTACGTTTCTTCAAGTGAAATCTATCCAAAGTTATATTTCAGAAATTGCTGTCACTTTCTTGGCAGATGTTGTCGAATCAGTTGCATTATAATCTTACCTTTAACAATTTGTTGTCATTACGATTTTGCAGATAGATGGAACAATTGTAGCACCTGATGAGCCTAAGAACTGGGACCCCAATCTCGCTCGACTATGGCTTGATTTCTCTAAGCTGAACGGAGTCCTCTTCCAAGGGAATGGAGTAATTGATGGATCAGGCAGCAAATGGTGGGCGTCATCTTGCAAAAAGAACAAGTCCAATGTGATTATTCAAAAATTCTAGTCTATAGTTTAATCCATGCTTCGCTACTTGAATTGGTCAGGATTTAACACTCTTTTTTCTTTCTTTACAGCCCTGCAGAGGAGCACCAACAGTAAGGATCCTTTTCCCTTCATTATATAATTCATCCTTCCGGGGAGAAAAAAAAACTATGCAGATTGTCAGGGACTTAACAAATGAGGCCTTTGCAGGCATTGACCATTGATTCAAGCTCAGCAGTGAAAGTAACAGGTCTTACTATAAAGAACAGCCAGCAGATGAATTTTGTGATTTCCAAGTCAGCATCCGTGAGAATATCTAAAGTTAGTGTCTCATCACCTGGAGACAGCCCTAACACTGATGGAATCCATATTACTCAATCAACTAATGTGGTTCTCCAGGATTGCAAAATCGGAACAGGTTTTTAGACCCTAACCTCATTATTTTCCTCATCTATTCTCCAAGTAAAGAATATCATAAATAGAATGGAGATCTTGGGGATATTATTGGCAAACTTTCTGACAGGTTGCATATCTTGTTGATTCTATGGTATTTTCAGGTGACGATTGCATCTCGATTGTCAACGGTAGCTCTGCGATTAAGATGAAGAGAATATATTGTGGACCTGGACATGGAGTCAGGTTGAGTTAAATATGAGATTCTAGCCATCATGTCATATCCCATAAAGGAAGATGTTTTAGGCCAAATTTCACCATTATCTACAGAAAAGCTGGGACTAAAATTCTAAGTTTTCATTATTAACCCTTTTCTTTAAATTCTGTCACTCAGCATTGGAAGTCTAGGGAAGGACAACTCAACAGGCATAGTCACAAAGGTGGTCCTGGATACTGCACTTATCAGGGAGACAATGAATGGCGTCAGGATTAAGACTTGGCAGGTAATACTCTAGGACGTAGTTAAAACTGTTCGGATTCTGGAAGTGCTTAAATTATATTCTCATACAAGACTTGAGGAATGTTCGACGGAGTGTGCATCTAAAATCCCCTGCTAATATCCTCTCTGGATCTCTATATGCTGCAGGGAGGTAATGGTTATGTTCGCGGGGTACGTTTTGAAAATGTCAGGATGGACAATGTTGATAACCCCATTATCATTGACCAATTCTACTGCGATTCCCCGAAATCGTGCCAGAACCAGGTACGTATTCCATTTTTTGTGCTAGATTCATACTTGACAACCTAGTCTTTAATAACTATCCTATTCATCTGATCAGAATTTTGCTCCTTTTTTTAGACATCAGCAGTAAGAATTAGCGAGATCATGTACCGCAATATTAGTGGGACTACAAAGAGTGCAAAAGCGATGAAGTTTTCCTGCAGTGACACAGCTCCTTGCAGCACCATAGTCCTGAGCAACGTAAACTTGGAGAAGGAGGCTGGCACAGTAGAGACCTACTGCAATTCGGCCGAAGGCTTTGGATATGGCATTGTTCACCCATCAGCTGATTGCTTAACTTCCCATGAAAAAGACTATAGTTTCTTCGAGCAGACAGAAGTTTCCCAAGACTACATTCTCAACGACGTGACAGAAGAAAAGGTTGAGCTTGCAGATTCCAACAACGACCGCATTGTTCATACTGAACTTTGACATGGCCTCTTGTTGTAATAAAACTATCCTCATTAACTATAGTAATATACTAAATTGGGTTAATGGAACGTATAGAATACTAATAGATATTTCTTGGAGGAGGTTTGATGTGGCCATGTTCGATTTTTAGGGAAGTTACAGGTATTCATATATAGTCACAGACCAACGAAAGCAATTATGCATCTGGGATTTTAAATATTGTGTATATTTTGATTACACGTGCCTGCATTATTTGAAGGTTTGTCATAATTGCAAGTTGGAACATTTGTAATGATTTTTTGTTGTTTCGGGTTTCAAATTCTATAATGCAAGTCTTTCTCTCTCTCTCTCTCTCTCTTTTTTTCTAGATTTGTTATATGAGCAGCGAGCTTGCCTAAAGCTACAATGATCGATGCAGGTAAAAGATACAATTAAGTCCCAAGGCTATATGATACAGGTAAAAGCTAAAATTACAACAAGAACGTAGAAAAGACGTACAATTAAAAGAGTTGCAAATGAACTCTAAATTAACAAAGAAAACAATTACACGAGGGCTGAAACTTCAAGAGGTTTCCAAGACTTTTAAATTAGCTAGAAAAGTCCACCTCTACTATAAAACAATCTAAAATTTAAAGGCATTAAAGAAATTAAAACAAAATCTGAAATAAAATAATAAATCCTAAAAATCCTAAAAAAAAATAAAATTGACTCAAGTAATAACTATTAAATATAATTTCAAGAGATATAACTATCCAATAAACAATGGAATGGCTTTCCATAAGAAAATTGCATATAGAATTACATAAAAAAATTTAAATTTGATTTAGGGATTGAATTTCATTTCATGTAATGTGCGTTTTAAGGAACTAATATTCTTTGATATGATCAGATTTTTTTCTAGACTTATATTTATTTTACTAGTTTATAAAAATATCTACTAGAACATTGTATCTAAACAAGTTAAAACAAGGTACTATAAATTAAGAATTTTGCTTTCGAACCTACAAGCTCATGACAAAAGTTTGGACTTTGAACTCTGAAGCTCTCTCCAGTCTTTATCTCCGAGTTCTTCAAGGTAGTCAGAGCATCTCTTAGAAAAGCTATTTTGAAGAGCTAAATTAATATAAAAAAAATTAAATAATATAAATATAGTTTGAAGAGCTATTTATACTCCAATGGAAAAAAAATTATTTGAAAAATTGGTATGTGAGAAATAAATGCTTTATTTTTTCTTTAAAAAGTTTGATGTAATTTTTTTATTTAATTGATTTACATTTTATTGGTCTATTGGTTTTGATTTTTTTTTAAGAGATAAATAAAAATGACATTTTTTAGAAAGAAAATGTATTTTGGCATTTTATTTAGCACTACCCTCTTAATCTCTTAATCTAAATCTTAATCTCTCAATCTAAATCAATCTCTGTCAATCTCTAAATCAAAGCCCCTCCTGCTCCTCTCAATCTCTCCGTTTCTTTGTCTCTTCAGTGCCATCGTCTCCGTTTCTTTGTTGCAGTCGTCTCTGTCTTGAGATCAAGGTAACTATTTCTTTGCCAAGTTTATGGCAAGAAATATTTTGCTATGAACTAGCAATGAGATTTCATTCGGAATATCATAGATAGTGGCTTATATTGTTTGATAGTAGATGGTTGTTTTCTTTTCTGGGATTGAATTTAGATTTATTTAGTTTTTGTAGCAGTGGTTGTCTCTGTCAACAATAGTTTTCTGTCTTTTAATAAACTTTGTTGATTGATTACTTAATAAACACCATTAGTCTTTAATCCAGATTAATATAATAATTTTTTTCCCCTTAATTATTGATGTTTTGTCTGGAAAGGACACTAGGTAAAGGAATTATGTTTTGTTGATTTGCAAATTAAAAGACTGAAGTGATGTTTTCTTGCAGGGAGAGTTTTGCAATCTATTAAGGATTTTTTCAGCAATGCTTCTTGACTAGGGTTTTGAGAAAATAGAATTTTAAAGGAAAATTGAACAATTAGAACATGTTTTTTATATCGTTTACAAGGCTTTAGAAAGCCAGTTATAAATCACAAAAAAAACTCAAAAATATATGCAGGTTTTCCCGGTTTCGATTTTAAATTAAAAAACCAAACCGAATCAAAAACAAATCCCCACAATAAATTATGTTCAAACAGACCCGCACTCACGATATGATCTCATCCCACTAACCAAAAGTTAGAACTTGAATAATTATTTTAATTATCACGCATGCTAAATCCTTTTTCCTTATGTTCTTTGTTTATATGTGCCACAAAGCACGTTACATTATTCAATTTCAAGGAACCATAATTGAATTAAATTAATATTGTTGTTTCTCTCGTCAATAATAGATTTCAAATCTTAACATTTTTGTTTAACAATGATAAATTTCAAGGTTAAAAGCTATAGGAGCAAAAAAAAACAAAACAGGAAGATGGTTCTTTCAAGCTCTTGCTTGCTTCTGATATCAGGAGTCCTGCTTCTATATCCACCACTGATAGTTTCACTACCACTTCAGGATAGTTTTCTGCAATGTCTCTCAAAAAATTATGAGATCTCCGTTCCTTTTTCCACCGTCTTGTACACACGAAACAATTCTCTGTTCACTACTATCTTACTATCTTCAGCTCAAAATCTCAGGTTTGCATTGCCTTCAACACCGAAACCTGAATTTATTTTCACACCTTTGCAGGAAACCCATATCCAAGCTGCTGTTGTTTGCTCAAAACAGCTTGGAATTCACCTACGAGTTCGCAGTGGAGGGCATGACTATGAGGGACTCTCTTATGTCTCTGAAACTGAGACTCCTTTCATTGTTATAGACCTGGGCAATCTTCGATCCATCAGCGTTGATATTGATGCTAATAATGCATGGGTTCAGGCTGGTGCCACAATTGGTGAACTTTACTATCGAATTTCAGAGAGAAGTAAAAATCATGGCTTCCCGGCAGGTATTTGTCCCACTGTGGGTGTTGGTGGGCACATTGCAGGAGGTGGATATGGCCCTATTTTCAGAAAATATGGCCTTGCTGCGGACAATGTCATCGATGCTCGTATAATAGACGCCCATGGAAGAGTGCTTGACCGGAAAGCCATGGGAAAAGATCTTTTTTGGGCAATTAGAGGAGGTGGAGGAGGAAGCTTTGGAATCATCACTGCCTGGAAAGTAAAAGTGGTTCCTGTGCCACCAACTGTGACTTTTTTTGAAGTTTCCAAGACCTTGGAACAAGGTGCTATTAAGCTCCTCTGTAAATGGCAACAAATTGCTGACAAACTTGACGAGGATCTCTACCTTCAAGTTGTCATTCGATTGGCTAATGCTAGTGATAAGGGTAAAAGAACCGTATCGACTACCTATAAAGCTTTGTTTCTTGGTGGTGCCACCAGGCTGCTCCATGTGATGCAAGAAAGTCTCCCTGAACTGGGTTTGACAAGGAAGGATTGTATGGAATCAAGCTGGATCGATTCAATGCTATATGAGGCTTACCTTCCTAACAATACATCTCCTGAAATTTTACTTGAACGGAAGAATCTATTCAAAAACTACTTCAAAATCAAGTCAGACTACGCCAAAGAGCTTATATCGGAAACCGCACTTGAAGGGTTATTTGAAATGTTGTTAACGTCGGAAGAAAGTCCAAGGATTATATTGGTTCCTTATGGTGGGGTGATGAGCAAAATTTCAGAGTCTCAGACTCCTTACCCTCATAGAAAGGGTAATTTGTTCTTGATTGCCTACATGAGCAGCTGGAAAGATGTTTCAGAGAATGCTGCAAAGCATATTGATTGGATTAAGAAGGTCTATGAGTACATGACTCCTTATGTTTCCATGAATCCAAGGGAAGCCTATGCCAATTACAGGGATCTTGATTTGGGCATGAACAATAGAACTAGACCAATAGTAGAAGAATCAAGTGCTTGGGGTACCAAATACTTCAAGGATAACTTCTACAGATTGGTACGAGTTAAGACCAGAGTAGATCCTGATAACTTCTTCAGGCATGAACAGAGCATTCCTCCTGCCATTACTTCCATAAGAAAAAGAATCAAAGGATAATGCAGCACCGCAGAGCTAGCTATTATGCGTTGGTCTAGACAAATGTTGTAATAATTAACTATATTATGCTTTGTTGTTGCAGCAAACTGAGTTCCCTTGTAAGAAATTATTACTATAGCTTTAAAATACGATCAGGCCAAGCCCTGGCCCTCAGGTTAGGAGAATTAATCCGGTTGACCCAAAAAATTTTGCCAAAGGCCATCTCTTCTCTCCAGCACCTTCAAATGGCCACCCACTCATCCACCTTCCTATGGATTTGCCTTTCTCCCATCAAATCTTCATCCACCTCTATAAAACAAGTCCCCACCCAATTTGATAATCTTGATAGATATAAATCTTTTATAAATTATAATGTCTCCCCTAGTAGCTAAGCTAGGTATTTCATGCTTCTCAATTTAGTTCTTCATTTTTCATTCTGTTTAAAATTTTCTAATAAAAATAAATTAATTGATTTTCAGACTTTTCCTATCTCATAGAGCCCACACTTTAAGCTCACAATGCACAATTCCAGGAGAGAAAGCAGGCCTAGAAAGGAAAATCCTAGCCCACATAGAAAAGTAGAGAACTAGTGGTTGGCTCGTTGCCATCAATCTCTCTTGAGCTGCCTCCTGGAATTTTCTATATTATCTTGTGAAGAGGTTCCTGACATGTAAGTGGGAACTCTCATTATTCCCGGAGACTCTAATTTTTTTATGCCAAACTATTCAAATAGATGGTGAGGTACATTATATTTCTATGTCTTTATTCCTGGATCTTTAATTGCCGAACTGTAAACAAGCTTTCCAAGGTGTGCGATCCTGCTACCTCTCTCTCTCTCTCTCTCCCCCCTTACAGTCCAACTTACTGCTAAGCATGGGAGGCCTCCACTCTCTTGACTTTCAAAGTGATTTGCCCGAGTGGACTATAGGACTCTAGCTTCTCCTCATCAGGAATTGTTTTATATGGAAAATTCGGTTGTTGTGGCGCATCTGTAACTTAAAGAAAACGCGTCCACCTAGCTCATTGGATTCAAAAAGAAAAATAGTTCAGAATAGCACAGCTTGGCTTTTTTTTTTTTTTTGGCCAACGTTGGAACTATAAATTTATCAATTTATTGATCACATCTCTGCAAGAGCCATTGGAGACACAAGCCAAAACATGGTTCTTTCAAGTTCTACTCTTTCACTTCTTGTTTTCATGCTAGTTTCTCCTTCATTCGTAGTTTCACTCCCACTTAAGGATAGGATTTTTAGATGTCTCACTGGAAATTCTGAACCATCCTACCCTTTTTCCACTTTGTTGTATGACCCAAGCAATTGTTCGTTCATTAGTACTGTTATTACCCATTTGGACCCCACATAAAAAAAATCAGAAAAAAGGAAAAGAAAAAATAAAAATAAAATAAAAAATTGTTGGAAGAAAATAATAAAAAAAGAATATAATTGACGAGTATATCACTTATATATTCTTCTGTCCTCAATTCATTTTTTTTTCTTCATGCGTATGTATTTATTTTTTTTAGTTTTTTTAATTAATATACTTTATATTTTTTTTAAGCTTCACTTGCAATCACATTAAGATGAGATTTATTTTTTTTTCACTATATTTATTTATTTTATTTTATTTTTAATTGTTTTTATTCTTAATAATTATATGAATATTGTTGTAGGATTATTTGTTTCATATGATTTTTTTTCCAAGCGTTTTGAGTATTATAGAGTGTTAATTTATATTAATTTAATTATTTAATTATTTTTTAAAATAATTTTTTTAAAATATTTTTAAATAATTACTAATAGAATTATATATAGTATTTTTCTAAGGAAAATACCGACGAAATGAAGCGGATAATATTTTTTTTAAGTGTCTTTTTGGTCAGTAAATTCATCTGTAATAATATTTTTTTATTATCAACGAATACAAAATTACTGACTAAAGATTTATCGACAGAGTATTCTTGCGATGATTTCGATAGTAAATTAATTACCAACAAAATGATAATAGAAATATTGACAGAAAATTATATCGGTAAATCTAAAGATTGTGGTAGTGATATTTGTTGTAATCTAATTTTAGCTCGTTAGCTTTTAATTTAATTTTATAAGATATAAAATATAAAATTAAAATATCAAAAATTTATTTTGATGAAAAACTAGTGTGATTTGCCACTTTGCGCGAAAACTAAGAATTATAATGTATTTTTATCATTGTATTTTTATCTTCAAGATAATGATAATTATTTATTTTCAATTTTAATTCTTAATCAAATTCAAATTTCAATCCGATAAAATTCTTACACTATAACTACATACCATTAATTACAAGAAACCTATGACAAAAAAGAAAAAAAAAACAGAAAAAAAAAACCTATGATACAGAAATCTAGCCGAAAACACGAGGAGGAAAGGGAGGCAAAACCAGTCACCCCGTCCACCTCTATAAAATCTGGACACACACACATAAACGGGAGCTATTCCAGGAGAAGGGAGAAGACGCGGACGACGACAAATACCAGCAGAAACGCGCAAGCAAGGGTTTTCTTCCCACAACAAGCAGGAAGGAAAGTTGGTTCTGTTAAAAAAAAATAAAATCAAGAGAAGCAGAGAGTTCTTGCACCAGGGGAAGGGAGATTTCGCTGCTATTGAGAGGCCGGCGTGAGAGAAGACGAGCAGGGACCTTGCTGCTGCCACAGGAGCCCTCTTCCTCCTGCATTTTCCCTTCCCCTCAACTGCAAGCTTCACTGGCGCTTCTCAACAGCTCAGTCGTCTTGCAGCGGCAACAACAACAAGCCGACTACCAACAGCAACAGCAGTAGACAGATCCATCCTCCCAGAGCGTCAAGATTAGCAGCAGCTCAGCCATCTCCATGCACCGTGAGCATACATCAGCAACTAGCACGGTGCGCCTCCTCCAGCTCCAGCAGCCGTCCAGCAACATCCAGCAAACAGCACTGTGCACCTCTTCCAGCTCCAGCATCAATACAACAACAACCGTACGCCCTCTCTTGCATCAACTAATCATCCTGCAGCACCAGCCGTGAACAGCAGTAGGTTGCACCTCTAGCAAGCGACCTTCTCCGCACGCACCGCGAGCAGGCAACTGCAGGAGCAGCCACTCTCTCTTCCGTCGCAGTCTTCACCAGCCATCCACCGTTTAAAGTAGCTTCCTCCTCCGCGCCAGAAATACGCAACCAGTGGAGAGAGAAGGGACGAGGAAACAGAGAAGAGCCAGAGAGGAGCAGAGCAGGAAAAAAGTAGAAAAAAAGAGAGAAGAAGGGACCAAGGAGAAAGGATAAACACAGAAGAACGAAGGGAAGGTTGAGAGGTTTGCCCAGCCACGGGTCTCCAGCATCTTCCGGCGGTCTCCCTTTACTTCACCTCCAGCAACGACACGACCAGGTAAGTTTCCTTTCTTGCTCGCTAAAATAATTAACCTGTTATGTTTGAATGCATGCGTCTATTCACGCATGCATGTAATAGTGGCCAGCCAGGCCATCGGCTTGGGCCACTGGCCAGCCGGAGCATTGAATCTAACCTATACCTGGATTAGATCTAATTTAAAAAATAAAATAAAAAATATTTATTTTTTTAAAACTTAAATTTTATAAGTTTATTTATTGATATCAGAGTCAGGAGTACTATACCTTTTGAATTGTGTAAAATATTTATAAATACCTGAGTTAAAAATATTTATAAGTGACTATTTATTAATGTCAAAGTCGGGAATATGATAAGAAAAAAAAAAGAGAAAGCACAAACTCTTAGCGATTTTAAACAAAATCAGTAATGCAGTTTACCTTAAGTAAAACACGTAAAGAGTGATAGTATCTTTTTTTTCACGTAACCAGTCTCGCACCATTAGAAACTATATTAATCAATTAGAGTTACTAGTGACTATAATACTAGGTGGCGACACCTTGAACTATATATTTTTCTCCAAAGAACAAGATGTCAGATATCTATTCCTTTTCCATAAGAAATTTTTAATCAATCATCGCGATGTCTGGGTGTGACAATATTCATCGCAATCTTCTATGTTGATTTTGTCGTTATCATCATCTTCATCAACTTGTATATATCTGTTGGTTCTCAAAACATCATTTAACTCTTCAACTTTAACATCAATAAAATATTCTTAATAATGTGAAAATTTAAATTTTCTTATAAGTTATTAGATGGAGCAACTCAATATGAATTAACTAATTCATTAACTTAAAAGACATCATTTCCCACAATTAATTCATCATTTCCATCTTAAACAACCTGGACATGACCCTTAGGTGTAGTTATCACTATAAATGACCAATTAACTATTAAACGACCCTTTTTAAAAGAAGGAGTGTATGTGTAATAAACTTACTGGCTTTGCTTGGCAAAAAAAAAAAAAACATTATTTGAACAAAAAGACTTTATTTTACTCATTATGATATTGCAATTGAATGACCTCTTCTAACCTCTTATGGTAATCAACTTCAAACTCATTAGAAGTTAATCTCTTAACACAAACTCCATTGTTATATGTCTTTCTACCCTGACCATACCATTTAGTAAGAAACACATGTTCGTTATGAAATACTCATTATAGCACTGCACCTTTCTTTCAGGATCTAAACTTAGTAAATTCAAAGGAATACTAGCATTCCCTCCCAATTGATAAGCCTGGTATATAAATTATATCTCCATCATAGAAATGTGTAATGAAATTAAATTTCACAAGAGATAAGAATCACTAAATAGTCTTACATATGTTCTAAACCACATAGAAAATTGTTCACCTTGTAATCAAAATATTTGAGATTCAGTTAGCTGTAATTTTTTAGATAGTAAAAATTAATGATGTTGCCTATGAGGAATTCAACATTCTATCAATTTATAATAGTATAAGAGATAAATTGTTTGAAAGTAACAACATGTGGAGTATTATACTTATTGAATCAATTGTCTCAGTTCATCGCAACTAAATAACACATAATTGTGTGCTTGTATGAATTTTATATTTGTCAAATATCTTATTCTCATAGTATTTCTTGATATGGGTTATGTAGGATGAGAGA